CTACATTTTTTTTTAACACGTCAGCTGTCTCCCACCGAGGCAGGGTGACCCAAAAAAGAAAAACACTTTTTACCATCATTCATACATACATAATCACTGTCTTTGCAGAGGCACCCAGATATGACAATGCAGATGTCACTCCTCTATATACAGACTAATAAATTTTAATATTAATCCTGATCTGTAGCACTTCCTTGATAGTTGCAACAGAACCCATAGACATAATACTAGACACAAAAATCTCCATAATTTTTATAAAAACTCAATGTGGATAAAAGGATCCAAAATCTGGAACTCCAGTCAGATATCTCTAGAGCCACTCTCTCTGCCAGCATCTTCAAAACCACTGCTAAAAAACACCTTCTTTCACTAACATACCCTAACAACAAATAAATATGATGAAACTATATTTTCACATTCTCACTGCCACAAGCATATGAAAAACAATATATTATTATTCTCATATGCTAGAATCCTCATTACCTGTAATCATAAGCCAACCTGTAATTCTTAAAACAATTAAGCTCGATACAAGTGTTCACTGTAATTACTAAGTTTATTGTTACAACCACTTAGAGACCATATATACAAGCAATCAATTACTGCCATATTAGTCTCAAGGTAGGCTTAAGTTTGTCCAAAATGCTCTGCATACTAAGGGGCTTTCTGCATGAACACCTGAGTGTAGCCCACCTGTGTACACATATTGTATCATGCTGAAATAATCTTTAATCTTTAAAAATTTTTGTGTCATACTAGCTGTCTCTTTCCAGGATGGGCTGACCCATTCATCATGATTCATTCATTTGTATATGTATCATTCTTTCACTTTCAGAATTCAAGTCAGGCTAAGCAGCTTGAGTTTGAGACTGTTATGTCTCTTGATTAATTATTTGTGTAGATCAAAACTAGCATATTATCATTTTTAATAAGCTCTGCTATCTGACGGTTAAGTGCCAACCTTTCACAATCATTGTATTTCTCTAATATGTACCTCTTCAGCCAGAGTATTTTTAGTGCACTACTGTTATATATCTTCCTCCACTTTACATTTGGAAGGTTGAAATCTCCAAAGAAGAAGTTTCATGTGGGGTTTTCTAAGCTACCAAGGCAGCTAGTGATATTACTTATCTGCTCAAAGAAGGCAGAAGCCATACAAAAATCACCATAATAGAGGAACCTGATAAGTACTAGGGGCAGTTTCAGCAGTTCCAGTGCTTCCCTGGATTTACATATTAAGTGAAGTGCAGTTAACAATGACTTCTAAAGCAGGTGGTGGTGCCAGGAAGAAATGTGTGGTTCTCACTTTTAAGCAGAAACTTGAACTAATAAAGAAGGTTGAGCCTGGCATCTCAATGGTACAGTTACAGCCTTCTACATTATTTTACTAGTAGAACTTCACAGTTCCTCTGTCTCAGAATAAAAATTATTCTGACTAGAATAAAAATTATTCTGAGTCAGAGCAGTTTACACCTCATCTCTCCACTAGGAAAAGGTGAGTAAAATTACTGTGAATTACATGGAGTATTATAAAATTACTAAACAATACAGTACTGTATTGTAGTACTACAGGTTACAATACCTGTATTCTTAGTATCCAACTGTCTTCTGAACCATTTTTGTTATGATCATGAAAAATGAATTTCATAATTCAGAAGTTTCAGACAATCTGTAATATTCTATACCCTCTCCTCCCTATTAGTCTGTTAATTAGAGATCATTGTACAGAAGCACAAGCCAGAATTATGTGGGTGACCCACCAATGATACATCCCAGAGGCTGATTTGGCCAAGAGATGCCTCTTTCATCTGTTTGCATAGCAAGGTGCACTGAATGTTTTTATTGTGATGGTATCTGGGAGATGATGCCAGTTGTGCATGTGCATACAGTGTGTGAGTGACACTGGGATCCAGAGCACTGAACATGAACCCAACAACCCAGGCAGCCTAGGTGATAGTAAAGAGGAAGACAGACTTCTGAGTGGCACACAGCCCACATACTGGCTCAGAACATAAGACTGGATGCATTCTAGTGAAGTTGAGTACCACCTGAAGATACAACTTTGGGACAAAATGAAATAGGTAAGAGGCTAACATGAATATTGCTGTAGTGCTACAGCAGAAAAGATTATCCCATGGAAAGAGATGCTCAGGAGACATAGAGACTTATCTGGAACACATTTATAAATCTGGATTGTCTTGACAGCCTTACAATAGTGAAACATTTGAAAGAGGATCATAATGACCATGGCCAAGATGATACAAGAGACTGGAATGCCTCTACAACACAGGAGGCAGACAATGTATGTTGTGAATATTATGCAGAAATTAGAATATGGTGTTGTAGTATAAAAGATATAATTCAGGGACCAGAAGTTATTGGGATGGTTTTTGGCATTTAGAAAGGATGAATTATTATTTTATATTAATGAGGAAGTGCTAAGTCTGTAGAGGTATACTGTACAGTGCCTGGGAAATGGAAGGCAATCTGGTTTGATCGAAGGAAGAGGATGGTAGCTCAAGTTTCTTTCATTAAGAACCATTCACCAGTATCAAGGCATCATCCTTTAAGAGTAGAAAAGATGGAGCAAAACAGCTTTGAAAGGGGTGCATAAATCTGGGGTGCATGGAAGAAAGTGTATAGGAGAATCCAGGATGTAAAGGTTTAGAGAGGTAGAGGTTTGAACACCCCACAGACATGTGTGAAAGTATCAGATTGCAGTGAGTGGAGGAAAGTGATTTTGATCTGACATGCTGTTAGAGTGTGAGCAAGGATTCAAGGAAAACCAGTTAACTGCACTTTAGTTCTGGAGATGGGAAGTACAGCACCTGTACTCTGAAGGATGGGTAGAAATATTACTGTTCTGTGAATCACCTGTAATAACCATGAACTTCTGGAAATACAGATATGGAATGGGCGATGGTTAATGTGTTGGCCATCTTTGTTTCATTGTTCCTTGGTAAGAAATGGCTGATGTGTTAAAAACAATTTTATTAATCAAAGAATACATTACATTTATTATGAATGTAGGTGTCATATAACTCCATGAGAGTATCTTTGTTGGAGCACACAGTATTTGTATTAATAAGAAAGAATGGATGGAGTGTAAGCAAAGTAACATTTATGAAGGGGTTCAGGGAAACCGGCAGGCCGGACTTGAGTCCTGGAGATGGGAAGTACAGTGCCTGCACTCTGAAGGAGGGGTGTAAATGTTGCAGTTTAAAAACTGTAGTGTAAAGCATCCTTCTGGCAAGACAGTGATGGAGTGAATGATGGTGAAAGTTTTTCTTTTTCGGGCCACCCTGCCTTGGTGGGAATCGGCCAGTGTAATAATAAATAAATAAATAAATAAATAAGAAAGAATAAAGTATACTCAATGGCCTGGTGATCTATATCAACATAATGTGAGATAAGGAACCATTAGTACCATTTTTAATTATGTTATTATTTTGAGTACTGAAACCTAGTACTATTTTCCTTTAAGTATTAAGTGTATATATTGTAACAATATTCTACTGCACAGTGGTGTTGAGGAACATGTTGGAGCTTATTCGGTCCGAGAAGTCCCAACGGGGAAAAACACACCGTTCGAGGGCCCTTACACCCACCCAAAAACAAAAACACACTCTCCCGGATTGACGTAGGTGGATGGAAGGTACTACTTAATTTATAGATTTACCCTTCAGGGAAGAAGTAGGTAGTTTATACTGTTAGTAAACTAATATTAGGATTATTGAGGCAACTGTAGATAATAATAATGTAGACCTAAGACCTTAACATAGGTAGTAATAGGCTGATAATGTAGGCAAACACTAGGTTATGTTAGCCAGGGAGAACTGGCAGCCCAAGTTTGAATGCTGGGGCACGGGGTTTTGAGACCGCCGTGCTTTCTTCTTAGACTAGACAACGTCTGAGCAACACGTGCCGTGATCAGCAGGCGTGCCCCCCACGTGTCTTCACATATGAGACCTGGGGAAATCTGGTGGAGGCACCTCGATGTACCATAGATGACCTCCTCCGTCAGGCCCATACAGTAAGACAAGACCTCCACTTTATCTTAGGATTCTGGCCAGCGTCTGGGAAAAGTTGTGAGTGAGTTGAACTGTAGGCCTTTGTGCAGCCGGCAGTTCATGACCAGTACGTGATTTTGTCTCTTGTCTACCTAGAAGCTAGTGTCCGTTTCTGCATAGTTATACTAGGGGATACACACCCCTTGGAAATAGGAATTTCTGAGGTGCAGGCAGGTCACTAATATCGATTGAATATTGCAGGAATTAAGGCTCCCGGTTGCACGTTGTTTCTGAGGGGAAGTCCAAAGGGGCTAAGCTTAGGGAGGTTGAAGATCAGGATATATGCTGCAACACCAAGTAAGTTAGTCCTTTAAACGTGCATGCAGGCGAGATTTCTTGCAACATCAGTCATTTATGAAAATCTGTCCTATAAGCCACTTGTGAGGCTGAGGTACCGACCTCAGAGCTCGGTGTCAACAGAGCTTGCCAGGGTAGGCAACTCACTTGGAGGCAGTCCAGACAAATTTTCACAGAACATAACTACAGTAGTTTGGTGTACAAATGTATCCTGTATACAATAAATGCATGAACATACAGTATACCATAATACCAGAATATTTTTTTTATTTATATAGTACAGTATATTGCACTGACTGATTAATTATAGTCTCAGTAGGTGGATGATGATGAGTATCTTTCAGTCAGGTTAAGCCCCAATGGTAACAGATAAGTAAATAGGCACAGTCTCATCCTTACCAAAGTGAACATCAACAAACTACACATTTCCTTACCCGTATAAGGTATACCAAAGATCACGTTTTAGTACCTTCAGGTTAACAGTCTCAATGTTTGGAAACTAAACCTTGATTCTACATGATTTATAAGTGCAGAATTAATATACTGTACAGGTAGAACAAAATTATGATTCTCTGAAGGATTTATGACTTTTTTTTTTTTTTTACAAAGTCAAAGATAAAAAAGATCACTTACTTTTTCAAGCGAGTTTCCTCCAACTTTGAGTAAATTTTCAGAGAGAGCTGCATAACTGTCTACAGACTGATAACTGTTGAGGTTACCTAAAATCATAACCGTATCTATGATGTTACTGGCAGTGAGTACAGGGGTTCCAGGTACAATGTCAGCCAAGTCCTGGTAAACTTGTATGGGAATATTGTCATCATGGGGGTACAGGATGGGCCATACTTGATACCCCTGTGCTGCATCTATGAGACTTGGAGATGGCTGATAGGCTTCTAGGTTCTCGGTCACAAGTACAATTACACCTTTTTCATTTCCTAGTATCTAGTTTGGGATCAAAGGAAGTTCCATTAAATAACTGAATTCAGCATAACTAAGGTTATTAGAACAAACTCTGGCTCTTTAACTTACAAAAAGCTATTACATATGCAGTATAAGCTTATTATTTAAAGTAAATGGAGCAAAATAGGATGACTTGAAGGGTGTATAAATCTGTAGTGGAGGGGAGGAGAGAGTAGGGTTTGTCCTAGGAAAGGATGGAGGGATGGGGGTAAAACGTTTTGTGTACAAGGAGCTTGGACATACAGCAGGCATGTGTGAGCATGTTAGATAAGAGTAAATGGAGATGAATGATTTTTGGGACCTAACCAGCTGTTGGAGTGTGAGAAGGGTAATATTTTGTGAAGGGATTCAGGGAAACCAGTTAGCCAGACTTGAGTCCTGGAGGTGGGAAGTACAGTGGCTGCACTTTAAAGGAGGGGTTTGGGATATTGGCTGTTTGGAGTGACATCTAAACTGTCGTATCTGAGTGCCTCTGTAAAAACTGATTATGTGTGATGGTGAAAGTGTTGAATCATGGTGAAAGTGTTGAAGGATGGTGAAAGTGTTTCTTTCTGTTTTTGGATCACCCTACTTCAGTGGGAGATGGCTGGCATATTAAAAAAAAAAAATATATACATCTTCTTTCTTTCAACACACCGCCATATCCCACCGAGAAGGGGTGGCCCAAAAGGAAAAACGAAAGTTTCTCCTTTTACATTTAGTAATATATACAGGAGAAGAGGGTACTAGCCCCTTGCTCCCGGCATTTAAGTCGCCTCTTACAACACGCATGGCTTACGGAGGAAGAATTCTGTTCCACTTCCCCATGGAGGTAAGAGGAAATAAACAAGAACAAGAAAGAAAATAGAAGAAAACCCAGATGGGTGTGTATATATGTTTGTACATGTATGTGTAGTATGACCTAAGTGTAAGTAGAAGTAGCAAGACATACCTGAAATCTTGCATGTTTATGAGACAGAAAAAAGGACACCAGCAATCCTACCATCATGTAAAACAATTACAGGCTTCCGTTTTACACTCACTTGGCAGGACGGTAGTACCTCCCTGGGCGGTTGTTGTCTACCAACCTACTACCTAGAAAATATATACATATATATCTATATATTTTTTTTTTTCAACAAGTCGGCCGTCTCCCACCGAGGCAGGGTGACCCAAAAAAGAAAGAAAATCCCCAAAAAGAAAATACTTTCATCATCATTCAACACTTTCACCACACTCACACATTATCACTGTTTTTGCAGAGGTGCTCAGAATACAACAGTTTAGAAGCATATACGTATAAAGATACACAACATATCCCTCCAAACTGCCAATATCCCAAACCCCTCCTTTAAAGTGCAGGCATTGTACAGTGGACCCTCAACCAGCGATATTAATCCATTCCTGAGAGCTCATCGTTAGTCAAAATAATCGTTAGTCAAGTTAATTTTCCCCATAAGAAATAATGGAAATCAAATTAATCCGTGCAAGACACCCAAAAGTATTGAAAAAAGCAATTTTTACCACATGAAATATTAATTTTAATACACACAAACTGAAGATTACATGCACAGTTACATGACACTTACCTTTATTGAAGATCTGGTGATGATTGATGGGATGGGAGGAGGGGAGAGCGTTATCTTCTTACTGTTTAGAAGGGGAATCCCCTTCCATTAGCACTTGAGGCAGCAAGTCTTTTTCTGGGGTTACTTCCCTTGTTCTTTTAATGCCACTAGGACCAGCTTCAGAGTCACTGGACTTCTGTCGCACAACATATCTGTCCATAGAGACCTGTACCTCTCGTTCCTTTATGACTTTCCTAAAGTGGTTCATAACATTGTCAGTGTACAGGTTGCCAACACGGCTTGCAGTAGCTGTGTCAGGGTGATTATCATCCATAAAGCTTTGCACTTTAAGCCACATTGTACTGATTTCCTTAATCTTAGAAGTAGGCAACTTCTTCAATTTCTCTCTCCACTCCTCCGAAGCAGTTTCCTCAGGTCTGCCCTCTTGCTGTTCAAGATGATCTAGCAGCTCATCAGTGGTTAGTTCTTCACTGTCCTCCACCACCAACTCTTCCACATCCTCCCCCAAACCTCCAACCCCAAGGACTTCCCCAATGCCACAATGGATTCCTCAACTGGCATAGGATTCTCAGGGTTAGCCTCAAACCCTTCAAAATCCCTTTTGTCTACACATTCTGGCCACAGTTTTTTCCAAGCAGAGTTCAATGTCCTCTTAGTCACTTCCTCCCAAGCCTTACCTATAATGTTTACACAATTGAGGATGGTAAAATGATATTTCCAAAACTCTCTTAGAGTCAGTTGAGTTTCTGAGGTCACTACAAAGCACCTTTCAAACATAGCTTTTGTGTACAGTTTCTTGAAGTTGGAAATAACCTGCTGGTCCATGGGCTACAGGAGAGGAGTGGTATTAGGAGGCAAAAACTTCACCTTAATGAAGCTCATGTCCCTAGAAAGTCGCTCTGCCACATCTGTAGGATGACCAGGGGCATTGTCTAATACCAGGAGGCACTTAAGTTCTAATTTCTTTTCAGTTAGGTAATCTTTCACATCGGGGGCAAATGCATGGTGTAACCAGTCATAGAAAAAGTCCCTAGTGACCCATGCCTTACTGTTTGCCCTCCACAGCACACACAAATTAGCCTTGAGGACATTGTTTTTCCTGAACACTCTGGGGGTTTCAGAGTGATACACCAATAAAGGCTTCACTTTGCAATCACCACTAGCATTAGCACACATCAACAGAGTAAGCCTGTCTTTCATAGGCTTATGTCCTGGAAGTGCCTTTTCCTCCTGAGTAATGTACATCCTGCTTGGCATTTTCTTCCAAAACAGGCCTGTTTCGTCACAATTAAACACTTGTTCAGGTTTCAGTCCTTCACTGTCTATGTACTCCTTGAAGTCCTGCACATATTTTTCAGCCGATTTGTGGTCCGAACTGGCAGCCTCACCATGCCTTATCACACTATGAATGCCACTACGCTTCTTAAATCTCTCAAACCAACCTTTGCTGGCCTTAAATTCACTCACATCACTAGTTGCTGGCATTTTTTTAATTAAATCGTCATGCAACTTCCTAACCTTTTCACATATGATTGCTTGAGAGATGCTGTCTCCTGCTATCTGTTTCTCGTTTATCCACACCAATAACAGTCTCTCAACATCTTCGAGTACTTGCAATCTCAGTTTCGAAAACATAGTTGCACCTTTGGCAAGAACAGCTTTCTTGATTGCCGTTTTCTTGCCCACAATAGTAGCGAGGTTGATTGGGGTTTATTATACAACCTGACCAGCTCAAGAGATATGCACTCCACTTTCATATTTATCAATGATCTCTTTCTTCATCTCCATAGTAATTCTCACCCTTTTTGCTGTAGGGTTGGCACTAGAAGCATTCTTGGGGCCCATGGTGACTTATTTTGCAGGTGCAATCACTAAAAAGGCTGTGATAATATGAAATGTTCCAGTTGTATGTTTAGAAGCGACCGCGGTGGCTGGCTGGCTTGTAAACACTGGCACCAAAGGGACAAGTGAGGCGCGCTCAGGCCAAAGTGGACGTGTATGGTACGAACGAATAGCGCTGGTCGGGTTTTTAAGCGCTAGTCGAGGCAAAATTTTTGCGTTTAAATGAATTGCTAGTCAGATTTATCGTTACTCGATGCCATCGCTGGTTGAGGGTCCACTGTACTTCCCATTTCCAGGACTCAAGTCCGACTATATGAAAATAACCGGTTTCCCTGAATCCCTTCACTAAATATTAACCTGCTCACACTCCAACAGATCGTCAGGTCCCAAGTATCATTCGTCTCCATTCCCTCCTATCTAACACGCTCATGCATGCTTGCTGGAAGTCCAAGCCCCTCGCCCACAAAACCTCCTTTACCCCCTCTTTCCAACCCTTTCGAGGACGACCCCTACCCCTCCTTCCTTTCCCTATAGATTTATATGCTTTCCATGTCATTCTACTTTGATCCATTCTCTCTCTAAATGACCAAACCACCTTTAACAACCCCTCTTCTGCCCTCTGACTAATGCTTTTATTAACTCCACACCTTCTCCTAATTTCCACACTCCGAATTTTCTGCATAATATTTACACCACACATTGCCCTTAGACAGGACATCTCCACTGCCTCCAACCGTCTCCTCGCTGCTGCATTTACCACCTAAGCTTCACATCCATATAAGAGTGTTGGTACTACTATACTTTCATACATTCCCTTCTTTGCCTCTATAGATAATGTTTTTTGACTCCACATATACCTCAACGCACCACTCACCTTTTTTCCCTCATCAATTCTATGATTAACCTCATCCTTCATAAATCCATCCGCCGACACGTCAACTCCCAAGTACAGTGGATCCCCAGTTAACGATATTTTTTCACTCAAGAAGTATGTTCAGGTGCCAGTACTGACCGAATTTGTTCCCATAAGGAATATTGTGAAGTAGATTAGTCCATTTCAGACCCCAAAACATACACGTACAAACGCACTTACATAAATACACTTACATAATTGGTAGCATTCGGAGGTGATCGTTATGCGGGGGTCCACTGTATCTGAAAACATTCACTTCTTTTCCCTTTCTCCTCCTCCAAATTTAATCCAATTTTTTTTTATCTAAAATCATTTGATACCCTCATCACCTTACTCTTTTCTATGTTCACTTTCAACTTCTACCTTTACACACATTCTCAAAAAAATCCACTAACCTTTGCAATTTTTTTTAGAATCTCCCATAAGCACAGTATCATCAGCAAAAAGTAAATGTGGCAAATTCCATTTTGAATTTGATTCCCCATAATTTAATCCCACCCCTCTCCCAAACACCCTAGCATTTACTTCTTTTACAACCCCATCTATAAATATATTAAACAACCATGGTGACATTACACATCCATGTCTAAGACCTACTTTTACCGGGAAGTATTCTCCCTCTCTTCTACACACCCTAACCTGAGCCTCACTATCCTCAT